TTGTTTTCTTAATTGCATTTTTTTTTCTTCTTGTCAAAAAAAACAAATAATAAATAATGGAAAATGATGAGATCTGAAAAAGAAAAGAAGATTCACCGTGCTTTTATTAATTAAAGAAAAAAAAAGGATTAGAAGAATAAAGACGACAAAAAAAACTATATTTTTGCCTAAATTTTTTTATAAATAATTATTCGCAATAAATAATATCGAAAGACTAACGTACTGAAATATAAAAAAGACACATAAGAAAAAAGAAAATTCAATCTAATTATAAATATTTTCGAATAAATTCAAATATACGTTCTTCCATAAAATAACGTTCATTAAATTTTCTTGGCATATGTCGTTCATCTGGAAATACTATTAGTTCATATGGTTTATTAGCTTTAATAAGTGCATTTACAAGACGAGCTGAATGACGAAAATGAACATTCTCATCAATTAAACCATGAATTATCATTAAATGTCCTTTCAAATTATTTACATAATACAGTACACTTGAAATTTCATATCCCTGTGGATTCTCCTCTGGTGTACCCATATATCTTTCAGTATAATGAGTATCATATCTAAACAAAAGAAACACATTATTTAATAGATCCTAATAGCTGATTTCTCCTTTTTCAGCTTACCCATCCCAATGTGTAACTGGTGCACCGGCAATACCTAATTTAAAAATGTGATTTGCACGAACTAATGCCATAGCTGACATGTATCCACCATAAGACCAACCATATATACCAACACGTGTTTCATCAGTAATACCTTGTTTGATAAGATATTGTATACCATCAATTTGATCATCTAATTCTATGTGTCCCATGTCATGTCTAATAGAACTTTCAAATGCAACACCTCGATTTGAACTGCCACGATTATCTAAACATAATACAACATAACCGGATTCAACTAAACGTTGACAACGCATATCAGTTCGAAGTGACCAGGAATTTACAACACTAGAAAATGAAAAAGATCTGGATTGATTGACAAAAAAAGAATCTTTAAACGTCATTCTTGTAGGATTAAAATGTGACAATCGATGTAGCTGCTGTACAGATATGCAATAGGTAATTAATTATCAATATACGGTTTTCATTACGTGTCACAAACGTCTGTCATGGTCTATGAGGTTCACATTTTTACTTCTACATTTCAACACTCATCTAGATCGTATTTCAGAAAAATTTGTTTTTCTCATACCGTTGAAGATGTGGTCCACCATAAACTGATACAAGTGTTGGATATGGTCTTTGATATATTTCTTGTTCATTATCTGGAGTATAGAGTGCACAATAAAGTGTATCATTATTTCTATTTAATATAGGAAATAATTTTGGTTTAACTAAATGAAATTCTTCAATTGTTCGTAATACATCTTGGTATAAATGATCTAAAGTTTTAATAATTTCTTTTTTTTTAACATCTAATATTCTTATTATTGGATATTGATCTATTGAATTCCATTGTGTTATACAATATTGATATGTTTGATTAAAACAATAAACAACATGACAACCAGATTCTTGTGTTATGCGATCTATTTTAGGTATATCATCATTATAATTAGCACTATAAAGATGAGTTTCAAGAGGTGTTTCACGATTAGCGACAAAATAAATTATTGAATTAATTTCATCAATATCAGCAATACGTTGTACAACCCAATCACCGTCTGTTAATGTTTTTATTAATTTTCCACTATCATAATCATGTAATTCTAAATGCATATAACCAGTTCGTTCACTAGCCCATATAAATTGTGTTGGAGTTTTTTTTAATGTATAAAATAAATCGTGTAAATTAATCCATGTTTCACTTATTTCTTCAATTAATAGTTTTAATGGTTTTTGATGTAAAAAATCATATTGATATAATTGTAATTTAGTTTGTTGACGATTTTCAATTTGTAAAGCAAGACTATTATCAGGAAAGAAATCGACACGTGCTACATAATAATCATTGAATCTACTTAAATCAACCCAATGTATAATCGGTTGTTGTTGATTATTTTCAATTGTAACATCAATTATACCAACAGTTACTTGAACATTAGCTTTACCAGCAAATGGGTATCGATGTTCTTCAACCTAAAATATAGAAAATAAAATAGAATTGTTTTTTTTCTCTTGTTTTTTATTTCTTTTTACATGATCAGGATCACTAGAACCTGAATGTGAAATACGAAAAACTGGTACATTTGACTCATCAACTTGAGTAAATGCAATAAAACGTGAATCATCTGACCACCAAAAACCATCATTGCGATCCATTTCTTCTTGCGCAATAAATTCTGCAAGACCATTTGTTTTATTTGGATAGTTACGAGCATCAAATGTTAATTGACGTGGTACAGCTAAAGGTATTGATGATGCAGTTGATATACAATAGAGTTCACAATCTTGAACATAAGCAACTAGTTTTCCATCAGGTGACAATTTGGGATCAAGAATAGGTGCTTGATGAGATCCATTGACTAACAGATGAAATTGTTTTTTATTATAAACATAAAGATCGCTGCCCATGGGAATAAGCATTATTGATTGAGTTTTATCTTTTGCCCATTGATAACGAGATATATAAGGTATTAACTGATGTTGACGCTAAACGGAAAAGAATAATTATTTATTTGATTTATTTCTTAAGACTTGTCGTTAGTTTCCTCTGTATCAAAAAAAAAAACAATGTCTTTTCTGAGGGATTTTCTCTTCATTAGTTCTTACATGTTTATCGTAAAATACTATCGAAAAATAATCCTTTTAGTTAGACGAATCTTTTTCAAACAGCATGGTATAATATTACTTTGTTCTATTTTTAGGTTTCATTTGATTTGTTTTAAATACAGCGAAATCAGTATAATGATTTTGAAGCTTTTTGGAAATAGTTTTATTTGATAGAGCAAAATAACATGTCTCGGTTCTCTACATGACTTTCGTTGATGTGAAAAATTTCAAATCTAATTATCTATAAATTTTGAAAAAATAAAATTCTTTTTTTTTTTTTTTTTTGTTGTAAAACATTAAAAAGAAACACACCTACTTCACGTTGAAATTGTTCTTGAGAAAGATTATCTTCGATAGCTTCATCATTGTTTTCCATTTCAGTAAAAACAAATTCTTTATCTTTTCGAAGATCATATGCATAAAGTTTCCGTATTAATGGTGGACATGGTGAACGTATATAAGTTAATATGTTATCATCTGGACTAAAATGTATGGATTCAGCTAGATTATAACCAGGTTGTGGGATTGATGCTACATCTATGCTCGTTATTCGTCTATATGGCATCTAAAATGGATAATCATCTCTCAGATACATGTATTATTGCACAGTGATGAAACAGTAATATATATATATGTGAATCAAACTTGATTATATATAACGATAATGCTTGGTTTTTTAATGATTAAAATCCGGAAAAGAGACAAAGCAAAAAACATGATTGAAAGAAGCTTTAAAATATATCGAAAAAGAATAAATTTAATATACATGAAAATCAGTTCAATTCTTTGTTTTTTTTTAATCACGTTTTTTCTGTTGTGAATCTTGTTGAGATTGTTCATACGACGGTGGCATTTGAGGATTCTATAATAATTAATCAAATCAATACAAAAATTTCTAAGAAAAGAACAAAAGTCGTACCGGTTGTTGATTCATATGTGGAACATACATTTGACCACCATAATTATTATTTTGATAAGCCGCTTGAGGTGGATATTGCATTGGTGCTTGATATCCATTCGGCATTTGAGGATACATATTAGAATTGATTACTTGTGATGGAGGAGCCGATGGTATTTCAGGATATTGAGGAACAAATTCTGCTTTTGGGAGACCTGTTGGTTGTCTTTGATAGACCCCTTCATATGGTGCTTGGGCTGGTGATACGTACATATCTGTGTCTAAATTCAAACGAAAAAAAAAGCGATTTCGTTACGCCGACAGATTATCTTTTTATTTTAGTAGAACTTCTATTTAATTCTGTAGGTGTCGTTTTTTAAATAATGAATTACCAAGAGTAAATATGGAATTCAGTAATATATGAAAAGGCAAGATGTAACATATATCTATGACTTATTAGTTTAAAAACCATAGAGAGTGAAAGAGAGTGTTAAGACATGCCATTGCAACATCAGAATCAATAATTTCAAACTTATGCTTTCATCTATAAGTATCCCTCTAATACATATGCTATTTACAACTATACTTCTAAGAGTTCATCTTCGAAAGCTTCTGACAACAGAACAAAACTGTTCGGTTTTGGAAATTGCTCATCTTAGAGTGGTCGAAGTCTGAGCAGCAATAATCTACGTATTAGAATTAAAAATAATGTTAACTCTAATACGACACTTCGAATCATAATACAAAGTAACAGGCTTCATCACATAACGTCCTGAGACTTATATTTACTGAAAATTATTCTATATCATCTACCTTGTATATATATATATATTGATAAAGTTTAAGATAGTATTTTATTGACGAAATGAAAAAATATTCGAAATAGACTTTACCAGCAAAACGATTATTTGAAGCTTGTGCTGCTTGATATGATGGTGGTGGAGGTTCATATAAATTAGCTGCAGCCATACCATAAGATCTAAAAATAATTCAACAATGTTATTTTAAAAGACCAAAATAAAATAATTTACGGTGGTGCTGCTTGAGTATGTCGATGAACTAAAAATTAAAACATAATAACCAGTGAAGCGTATCAGTGACATAAAAAAAAAAAACATGACTCACAAATCGAATTAACTTCACGTAATGCTTTACTAGCATCAATAGCACCACCCGATGAATACGTTAATTGAAACTTAACTTCGCCTTGAAATCCACCTAAACACGAAAAAAAAAACAAATGTCAATCATAACACATGTTCTTATCAATTGATTGATTGAATGATATATATATATAAAGGATGAAACAATAAGAACAAAAGCGAATAGACAAGTCAAGCATGATCATCAAACAACGAATAGAAATTATATTTCTATGTATGTTTATTATTACTATTCGAGCAACAAGTGAAACTAAATTCGAAATTGATTATTATCGATATTTACAACAATTTGGTTATACGCCAAAGGTTGAGGGTCGTCGATTATTTTCTATAATTGCTCGATCTTCATATACAGCAGCAATTCTTAAGTTTCAACGTCTTTATAAATTACCGGTAGGTTTTTTTTTATTTCTTTTATCAATTTGCTTAACCATTAAAATTTATTTAATCGTAGGAAACAGGTCAACTTGATGAAAGAACAAAAGCTTTTATGGAAAAACCTCGATGCGGAAATCCTGATCTTGGTACTTATGATTCCATTGGGCATCCAGTTAATGTTGATCAACGTGAATCTTTATCTACGAATGTTCAAGGGCGATCAGGCAAAACTAAAGTATCCGAAAGTTCTGCAATAAAAACACATATTTGGCCACAAAAGCATTTAAAATGGTTTATAGAAAAATATCCTGAACAACAAAAATATATTACAACAAAAGATCATATTCAACGTATAATAAATCAATCATTTAATGATTGGCAAAAACATTCCGGATTAACATTTGAAATGGTCAGTACAAAACAGACAGCTAATCTTAAAATAAAATTTGATTCAAAAGATCATAAGGATGGATATCCATTTGATGGACGTGGTGCAACATTAGCACATGCTTTTTATCCAACAAATGGTGCTATACATTTTGATGATGATGATTATTTTACAGATGATTATAAAGATCATGATGAATCATATACATTAAGACTTGTTGCTGCACATGAAATAGGTCATGCACTTGGTTTAGATCATTCATTTGAAAATGGTTCACTTATGTATCCTATCTATCAACAATTTGATTCAAATTATGATTTATCAAATGATGATCAACAAGCTATACAAAACTTGTATAGTAAACCAGACATAAAATCTACAACTGAACAATCGAAAACAACATTATCATCATCAACATATTCTTTGGATATATTACCAATTGATAATTGGTGTTCAGAAGAATTTCAAACTGGTTGTGAAGGTCCCGATGGTGAACTTTATTTATTTAAAGATAATCAAGTATGGAGATATCAAACAAGAAGAAAACGTTCATGGGATCCTCAACCAACATTAATTAATGAACGTTTTCCATCATTAACTGATACAACAATAACAGCTTGTGTCAAATCATCTATTGGTTATACATATTTATTTCGTGATTATCGTATGTGGCAATTAAAAACACATTGGTCTATTGATGGACCCTATATACTACATGGTAAAAATTATCCACAAAATCCACGTATTGCTTTATTACATCGAAATTCAATTTATTTCATACGTAATCATTTAGCATTCCGTTTAAATGAATTTGATCATAATAATGAATTAGAAATTCTTACTATTGATGCTATACTTAATCCATCACCAAATGATTTTATACAATCTGGTTTTACATATGCTAAACGTCATTATATATTTACAAGAGATTTTGTTTATGTTTATGATGCAACACATGGAAGTTTATTACCTGGTTATCCAAAATCTAAAGTAAATGGTTGGTTTGCATGTGAATCAACATTACAAATACCAACATCGAGAAGAAAAACGACAACAACAACAGCAGCCATCATGCGAACATTATCAACAGAATCATATCGAAAACATGAACACGATGAAGATGAAGATGAAGATGATCATGGTTTTCATCACCATCATCATCACCATCATCATCATCATCATCATCGACCGAGACGCCCTTTTCATCATCATCATCGTTATCCTCCTCATCAATATCGTCGTCGTTGGGAGTATTAAAATAAAACATTTTTTTTTTCTTGTAAAAACTGTCTTAGCGATGGAATATATTTTGTAGAATTCGAAATAAATATCTATATAAATAAAAGTTAGATTCAAAAATATTTTAACAACGAATGATAATAAGTTGTATTTCTAATTATTGTGAGAAAATATCAACGTGTTTGTTTTTCGACACTTATTATCCTATTCGAGCTTTCTTTCCCAAAGCTCCTTATTTACCTAATTCTATTCTATTCTATACGTCTGAAGTAACTTGTTTGTCAACAATAGATGGATTTTTTTTGCGCATCATGGTTGTTCGATGCAACGAAAATCGGCTTTAATGACTCATATTATTTTTACTCATTGTTGTATGTGCTATGATGTAATTATTTTCGTTGTTTGTAAGTTACTTGTCATCAACAATACATGTCTTTAGACACTATGATGGATGGAGAACTAAATGTACCGCAAATAAGTAGTATTTCTAATCATTGAAAACTAACTCTTTGATTACGGGATCTGTTTACATAAGGACTGAGCGTTTTTGCAGATTATAACTTTTACAAATCTATCACTTTCTTCAGCCATAGAATATTCTCTCTTTCTTATACTTTTAATAACAAAGCATCATTACATGATATTGCTGTACATGCATATCAAGTAGAAAAATTGAATAGAACATAACAACCATGAACTACTTATTAGCAAGACTCTCATGCCTGAAAATAGCTATAATATCAAACTAAAAAAAAAATTCGTCTCATACTTTTATTTACAGAGCAATATAATCCATTATTCATCTTGCTTCAGGAAAAATCTAATGGATTCTATACAATTCTTCGCTTCACACTCTAAGAATACATTAAATGCCACAAAAACTTAACATCACTTATTCATGTTAACTGAAAAATTATCTGTAACTATTTGTGTCAACAAAAGCGATCATAGACTATCTATGCTATTCAATTATACCATTTTATAAATATTTCACCACTTTTTATATAAAAATATTATGAGAATGATTATTATATTAAAAACTAACCGTTTGGATGTGCACCAGCAATACCAGAAATATAATTAGCACCAAATATTGGTTGTTCAACATGTAAATTTCTCATAGACATAAAAGCCACAGCAAATGAAAGTAAACTATCTCGTGGATCATCACTAAGAAAGATCATTCGATGAGTTGTTACAAATACTCTTCCTTTGTGTTTTCCACGAAATATTTCACCACATTGACGACTTGTATCATCAAATGTTAATGTTACATTTTTCGAATGATTGACAATTCTAATATGTATTTATAAAATAAGATGAATAGGATTTATTTGATAGGAAATTAGATTCACTTACTGTTCGCCTTGATAGAGTAGAAGACCGCCTTGATAATGAGCTTGATTAATTGACATTGTGTTGCTCGTATGTTAATAAATATAGATAATTCTTCAATATCAATTGATATCTTTAGAAATTTTTGTAAGTTCAAATGGTTTTTGTAATGAGTAAATAATCCAGACTTTTCTTCGGCAGCTGATGAGAAATTCTTAAACGTTACGAAAGAAACCAATAGTTTGACTCATTTTTATGTTTTCATCTTTTAATTATAATCAATTAAATTTTCCTTTATATTTATTTCTATTCAAATTAATTTGAAAAAGATGCGATATTTAAAAAATATGAACATGTTCATAAATATTCGATCGCTGTCAACAAGCGTCATCTGTTGACAGCAGTCTTGCAGTAAGAACTGAATGCTCTTCTTATTCTTTTCTGTACATTTTCATTCTCCACTGTATTTGAAATCTTTCATTTAAATTAATCAATAGGAATATTTTTCCGAAAGAAAACTTGCTTTTGATTAGTTATATCTTTTATTGCATGTAGAAAACCATATATTTCGATAAAGCTTGAGTTCTGATGTCTTATATTTAACAAAAGCACAAATAAATACAATATCAGTAGTATTAAATTTTACTGTCCTGTCCATTTGGTTCTCATTATCAGCATGACCGTCGAAATCATTAAGTATCTTTTTCTGCTTAATTACTGCGGCGTTGACATTTTCATCTCAGATTGGTCTTATCAGTTTGAGTATTCCAGTCTGGTAACAAAATACGTATCAATGTCTTTTATTTACTATTTAATTGGTGACTAATGGTATCTTAGCTAAAAGTTCGGTTATGCTTATAGACTTGTTGCTTGATAGACACCAATTGGGATTAGTTGTAATAAATATTTGTAAACCAATCGATATCACTTGGACTATCTGCATTGGAAACTTTTTCACAACTTTTGAAAAGCTTCACTGATTGGTATATAAAGACTTACTGTAACTGGTCTTCATGGATGTCTATCAGACAAGAAGTCTATGAACATAACTGAACTTGTTAGCTAACATACCATATAGTCGTCAATGAAATGACAAATTAAAGACATCTATAATTTTTGTGAAACATGATTTAACAAGAATGTTGAAGTGTGCAGAATAGAATTTGGATCCACTTAACCCGTTACCAGACTGTGATGGACATACTAACATACCATTAGCAAGGACTCATTATTTAAATCACTAGTTAACATGTAATTAATAACTCATTACTATTTCATTAGTCACTCATTTATAGATAATTAGTAACTCGTTAATGACCCATTAATAAATAATTAATGAAAGGAGTGTCGAAGGATATGTCAAGAAAAGTGAACCTCTCTTCATCCGCCTCACAGACGGTCGGTAACAAACAGACATAGTAGGCAAAGCTCTCTATAACGTCATGCAACTTGTCAGATATTTCGATAGTTTAGTCTATCTTTTCATCAAGGATATCGTGTGTCACACTCTGTGTATCGAATGACAGACGAATTTAAAAAGTTTAAGAGTAGACATATTTGTGACGTTGTATGACTTTAGCCTTTGTTCAAATAAGCTTCTCGAGGAATGAACATCGTTTGTATTTCAGGATAAGGACAAAAAGAGAACTGTGACATCCATAATTTCTAAAGCTTTAGCATATATTTTGAAAAAAAAAGTGTATGTACAACAAGAAAGTAAAATAGATTTGAAAACTGAGAGTCCACAGTGCTTATTCCAATTTAATGTTGAAATATATACCAACATACAACATAACAACAAAAAAATAGAGTCAGTCAGTTATTTAGATAGAAAAATAATGTTACACTGTAAAAGAAAAAAAAAAGAAAAGTAGAATGACGAACCAAAAATATGTTTTATATTCAAGTTTTGATGCCACAACAAGCAGATTTTTTTGATGTTTTATCTAAATCAATTCCTGCTGTGCGAAAACGTTCTAAATCTTCATTGCATTGCATATCTCTATAATTAAATAAAAACAAAAGACAATAACATAATTATTAATAAATATCAAACAAAGCTGTATATTCAATCTAATGATAATCTTGCATACATACCGAGCTAATTCGACAAGTGTTTCGTTTGAATTTGTACCATCTTTTGCACTCGTTTCAATAAATAATGCTTTGTATTCCTAGAACAAAAATTATCACATAGATTACACATATTAATTCTTTTTCTTTGAGAACATACTTTAGCTAATTTTGAACCTTCAGCTTTTTCAATGACACGTTTGCCTTCCGCTCGCATTTGATCTCTTAAATCAATTTTATTTGCAACAATCATGACCGATACTTTTTTTGGTGTTGCATCTGTTATTGTATTAATCCATTCTCGAACATTTAAAAACGATCGTTCATATGTTGAATCATAAACAAGTATAGCACCATCACATCGACGAAAATACGATTTTGCAATGCTACGAAATCTTTATAAGAAAAAATTGATTTAGAAAAAAGAAAAAAACAAAATAATTCATCTTAAACCTTTCTTGTCCAGCTGTATCCCATAATTGAAGAGCAATACGTTTACCATCAACTTCAATTTGTTTATTTTGAAAATCAACACCCAATGTTGAATTAATATTTGCCACAAATTTTCCTTTACATAAACGCATGATTAATGTAGTTTTACCAACGGCTGCATCACCACAAAAGACAACTTTGAACATACGACTGAAAAGAAAAAACAAATGAAAAAAAAAAACAATCAAACTCAACATTTACTCGAATGAAAGATCTTCCTTCGTATTGTGCTCATCATGGTGTTTTGTTGCAGGTGATCGAGGGATTGTTTGTGAATGATTAGTTGCATGTTTTGATGATGAACGTGCATTGTTCACTGGTCGCTTCGATGATCGTTGTTGAGACAATTTATTAGGATGATTACGTTCAAGTGAAACCTATTAGAATATATAAATGAATATTTTTACTTTCTAGGCAGAATTCATTTGTTGAAGGATATGTTTATAAGAATAAAAATATTTTTGAATTTTTCTTGTTTTGAACAATATTTAGGAATTCACAATAAGAAACAGTCATATTTTATGAAGTTGTTACACTTTGACTCAAGAACTAATGTTTTTCCCTGAGATTTTCTCTTCGCTGTATTATACATTTATGTATTTAGATTCAATAAGAGTATTTAGTGCTGTTTCATGATGATTTTAAACAAATACAACATATCAAACATATACAAACGAGTTCAAGGGATTCAAGAATATATAAATATATAACAAAGAGAATAGAATCACTAAAAAGTATTTGTTTTGTCGTTGAGTACTGAATGATAAGTGTATCGATAAAAAGTATTTTTGCGAAAAGAATTAAAAATATTTTAATATTGATTCTCATAATATATCAGCCAGACATGAATAACTCTAATAGATTAGACAGCAAATCTGAGTATTTCTTTCTAAGAATTTGCAAGAGAAAATATTAAAAGTATATACGTCTTTTATACCTCAACAAAAACATCGTCTGAATCTGTAGCATCTTTATTTGATTTAGTAATTAATGATCGATGTTGTTTTATATTCAGTGTTGGTGTTTGTTGATTCGGGTTTGATTCATGATCGGAATCAAGTTCAGTTGCATCCTGCACTGTTGTTAATGATAATCCACTATCTATATCAAATAAAAAAAAATAGGAACATGAACACATCTTTCATAGATTCTATTAGACCACAGCTTATATTAAAACCGATTATATAGAAAAGCTCGTTAGGTTTTTAATAATTAAAAAAAAAACACTTATTGATTTGTTATACATGTTAGAATCATGATCACATGCAAACAAACCATTCATAGTATTTTTTTCATGCACAGTATTGCGAAGAGCAGCACCTGATGCCAATGGTACTACTAGTTTTGGTAAATTATTAACACCTAGTTTTTCAATAGAAAGGGATCCATTAAGAAATATTCGAAAATCACATAATTAGATAGAATTAGCAGCAGAAAATATATGACACTTCAGTACTTTATTCTTGAATAATCTAAGAGATGATTAATCAGTTGAAAATAATCCAAATAATCAATTTAACTTGACATTTTCATTATATGGTGAAAAAAAAGACCCTCCGTTTCGATTATCGTGGAAATCTAGAGTCGTCTAACAAAGAATCGAAATCTCTTCATCATGATGGAGAGTGTATCTGTTTTTTTTTCTTCATATTTAATGCAACATTTAAATGATTCGAAATGGATTATATGATTTTCTAATACTCCTATACCAAGTATACCTTTTTCATCAGCTGATTCATGATCAAATGAATCGAATTTAGTTGGATTTGGATTCGTTACATACGATGGTGATGGACTATATAAAATAATCAATATGAACACTTTTTTTTTCAAAAAAAAAATCAAATTAAGTACCTGTCCAGCTTTGAATCATTCCAATAAGCACCTAGAGTTGAACCAGTTGTAGAAAACAATCGTCTTGGGGATAAAGCAAGCTAATCATAGATTGGAATATATTTTAGAATTTTAGTTTTCTGCTTACTTACATGTGTAGGTGTAGGTATAGCATTTAATTTATTGGCTTCAATCATTGCACGCAACGAATCATTTTCATCACGAAGCTGTTTATTAACTTCTCTATTAAAATAGAAAATATGTGCCATTAAATATTCTTTTGTTTGATTACGTACACCAGATGACGAACATTCGTTTGTAGGGATTCTTTTTCTCGATAATTACTTGATGATGATTGTTTTTCTCTTAAATAAAATAAACTGATTCAACTATATATTTTCTTTATTCATACTGTAAGAGCATTGTTTGTCTTTCGCTTAATTGAGCTTTGAATGATTGTAAATCACTTTGTAATATAGCATTGGTTGTTAAGGCTTCATTCAAAGATGTATTTAGTGTTTGATTTTCTTCTGTTAATTTTGCTATTTCTTTACGTATTGAATTTATTAAAGAATCTTCGTCACCTTTACGATTAATATAAAGTTGTTCAATCTAATTTAATTAAATAAAAAACAAGAGAATCATTAGTTGTAAAAAAAAAAAATTTATATACAGTCCGTAATCGTTGAATATGTGATTGTAAATCATTGATTTCTTTTGATGTACGTTGTTGAATTAATTCACGTTCAATTTCAAATTTTTGCCGTTCCTTAGATGTGAACAAAGAGATTCTGTAAAATTTAAAAATCAGTTTTTTTTTTCATTTACTTCTCTTCGAGTTTTTTCTTCTAACTCATGCATATCTCGTTCTTGATCTTCTTCAATACGTCTTAAATATTTTTCATTTGTCTCTTTTTCACTAAACAAACAAATAAAAAAATGAATTTGAAACAAAAATCATTGTATGACTTTTATTTAAATACCGTTTAAATGAATCTTCTAATCGTTTTATTTCTTTACGATATTTAAGAATATCACAAACAAATACTTCAAGAATTGATTGAAATTGTTCAATTGAACCATTCGAACTATTTCGAAGTGTTTCATAAAAATCATAGATTTGTTCTTGACTATTAAAGAAAAATATAATATTTTTTCAATGCCTACTCATTTTTCATGCTTCGAACATAATATTGTATCATCAATTTTATTCTTTAATGTGGTTTTTAAAACATCAAATGAATACCTAACGAATAAAACTTTTGTTTTATGCCTACCAAATAATTCTCATTTCCGTTGGGACAAAACAACTCTTTTTAAAGAATTTATAATGTGTGTTTTTTGTATTAAAAACTTAGTCTTACATACTTCGAAAATACAAAATCATCAGAGCCTTTATTATTGAGTGTGTCCATTGTATGGTTTTCACTCAACCGATGGTTTGATATCAATCTTTGCACAATTTGTATTGAAAATAAAATAACCAGAACCGTTTGTCACTGTCGTTGTCGATATAGTTATTTTCATTATACTCGCTTTTCTCTTCGTTCTCTTTTTTTTCTCCTCGTCTTTCTTTCAACTATATGCACAATCCTGTACATAAATATATTTATCAAAACAACGAAACGCTTCTACAACTAAGAACAGTGATGTGACTTTTTTCTTTACGCTTATAGGTATGGAGGGCAAGCATTTAGCAGTATGTGTAGGCAAAAAAAGAACGAAAAAAAACAGTTATCAATATAGTGTAGGTGTCGATCGACTTCATATTATTCATCAACTTCGTCTATAAGAATAAATGTCTAACTTTAGATTTTCATTGAAACGTTTTTCAATAAAAAATATCCTAATAAACCTATTCTATCATCTTTATCATACCATGAAAGATTATTGAATACTTCATTGATTTGAGTCTGTGTCATATTTTCTGCTGTATTATATTGATTAATAATTACATCATGTTTAAGTAATGTATGAGAATAATTATATGATTGCATCTGTTCTTTGAAGTAGATAGGTGTGTTATAATCTTTATCAAAATCATTAAATACTGTATCAATTTCTACTAGTGATAAATGAGAACAAATGTGTTGAAATTTATCTTTATGAATGTAACCATTACCATTCGAATCAACTATTTGAATAACGGCATTTATAGGAATATTATCGCCTGCTATTACGTACACAGATCACATTAGTATGAATAACAGTTTTATACTATAACATTACTGTTTTCGATTTTTTTTTCTGGTTAATGTCAGCGACAGGTCGCAAGGGTTGCGTCAGATGGATTTTGTATTCCGTGAAAAGAAAAACATCAATAACCAAGGTATATATAAATATCGCTTATTGGTATTTATGATTGACGACCATGAAAAGGACAAAGTGACACTTTTTTTCCATTCGATTTCGATCATATTCAATACTAAATCAACAACATCTCAGTGTAAAAAAAAACAGATTTAGTGTTAAATCAAACTTGATTATGAATGAGAGTAAGAAAAAAAAAGTTTAATCTTGGCAAGTATCGTAGAATATCAGGCATTGCACTTAATTCATTTAGTATTAAAATTTATCTTCAGTTACATAAATGGAAAAAATAGATTGATGATGTATATTTATCAAATGTTCGTAACAGAGGCTTTATCATAAACTCTATTCAATAAAAAATTCAAATGTCAATCAGCGTAAACTACAAATGCAGTTGCAATAGCAACCATATTGTAACCTAATTTAGTTTGTGCTGTTATTGATCCATCAGTATCCCGATTCCATAAACATCTTGATACAACTGCCAAGGACTGATGTATCTGTCTATTAGGTGCCATTTGTATAATTGAGATAAGTACAACAATTTTATATCGTGCATAATTGAGATGATCTACTTTTAAAACTCGACGTAATTGTTGAGCTAATTCATGAGCAAGATCACTGGATACTTTCGAATCATATCGAACATTGCTTGGTATTTTAGCACAACGACGAGTAAGTTCTAATTGAAGAAGTTTTTGTGCACGTGAAAAATCGAATTTTTTTATCGGACCAAAAGCGTAAGTTGATACGCGAGGACTTTGATTAATAATAGCCGTCTCAGAAGCTACGCTGCTTGATAAACGTGGATTTTTATTTGCTGATGGTACAGTTAAAGTTGAAGATAATTGTTGTTCATTTGATGGTGTCGTTAAATTGAAAACTTTTTGAAGTATATTACGCGTTGCCAATCGTTTTATATCCATTGCCATTATTGTTTCTTATGTTTTGTCGATGTTTTTTAGAAAAACGCGCCTTTAAGTATCGATTGTAAATCATAATTCTTCTTTTAGTAAAATTGAACATGCAAGAAACAAAACGACTACACATATGAGTTTGTCAATTACTTTTATTTCTTCTTATTGCGCTAACGCTCTTTTACTTCACATGAAATCTGACAACTCGAACGCATTTTTTTTTCTTTTTCTTTTCTTCTTCTATGCTCAACCATTGTCGTTATGCAGAATTGTCTCAACAACAGAAAAGTAGAACAAGAAAGAGAGAAAGAGTTTAATATATACAAAGATAAAAGGAAAAAAAAAGTGAGTGCGCGCTTGAAAGAAACTAAATGGTTGACTAGTAGAACTCGAACGTCAGCATACAACATCAATGTAAAAGAAAAGTAATCTTAGATAACAACCCGACTATAGTGTATGTATCACGGAATTCCTTAACAACGAGACATTCTTTTCCTCTCCTATCACTGCAGAGAAAATTCTATTCAAATGACATCACCACACCAACAATCACAAGTTCCGGAAATAGAAACAATAAATATGGCTGCATTAACTGAAACTGATTGGCAACAACGTTATGAACAATTACAATTCGAGCATCAGCTTGAACTAGAACGTATTCGTCTGCACTATGATCATGAACTTAAAGAAAAACTAATTGGTAAATAACATAGAAAAGAAAACAACTACATAATTTGACAAACAAAAAAAAAAATTTCTTTATTTAATAGAAATTCGCATGCGTTTAAAACAAGAATATGACCGTTATTTTGCTGAATTTCGAGCACGTCTATTAGAACAACAACAACAACTTTTTAATGTTAGTTCGAGTAGTTTGTATCTTGATCCAAATATAGGTGAACAAGTACGTGAACAAGTTTATATTGCTGAAGAACATGACCGTTACGAAGATGAACGACGTCAACAATTACTATCGCAACAATCAACTGATAACGATGAAATTCAACTAGTCAATAAATTACATACCGAAGGTAAGCATAGTATATATTTATATTTTATAAAACGAAAAAGAAAAAAGAAGTTCATACTTTTAAATTTCAATTGGAATACTTAAAAATGTTGTTCTTAATTCATTGACAATACAAAAGAAAACATAAATGCTATTCTCAAGAGTTATTCTTTTTTATTCGATAAATAAAAAGAATAAATAGACAGAATTATATGGTTTTTATTCTTCAATGAATCTATTAGAAAATGTACTAATCGAATATTTTGTTTATCATCTATAAAAATCTGTTTTTTTTTCAAATAGCATAAGAAATACTTTGTTAATATCGCTCTGTAGAATTTCTGTAACAAGCATGATCAAATAAAATTTCAGAAATAACATTCGACACATTTGCAACCGACATATGGAATCAATTGTTATCTATAAAATGAGGCATATCTCGATTAAGCGATATGTTTCGTAGTTGTCGCCAATAAGGCTTTCATTACCCATAAGTTATGTCCGCCTATATCATAGCCATAAGTTTTATGGGTTATTTCAAATAATAATTGTTTTATTGATGCTTGTTACAACTCGCATCCTGCTGTATTAAGCTTTCAAATTGCTGAAGGAATAACATTGCCAAAAAGAACATCGACACACAAAACAGCTCGTGAAATTAAAAAAAATTAGAAATTGTTGTAATCATTAGAACCAAAAGTAAGGTCGTTAGATGACACATAATCAGATGTATCAGGCTTATCGCCACGTAAACATTAGGTTATACTTTGTTTGTCTTGATTTTTCATATTAATTTCGTCTTTTTCTTATTGAAAAGATGACTTGCCCATATTCGAATACACTCTAAATGTAAGATATGATATATATATATATATATATTCTAGCAATATTAGCTTCAGTCCTCATCTATATCCTACATTAATATTATTTTGGGATAGCTGATAAAAGTTCATCCTATTTTCGGCATTGACGAAATTCATTTTTGAATTCAATGAAATCTTTATGTAATATTTCAATTTTTCATACTTTCATATAATGATAAACTAATCTTATCTACGTTCATTGAAAACAACTTCTGTTCGCTACAAAAAGAAATATTACAGTTAATTAGTAAAATATCGGTAGTGTAGAATTGAAATTAGATATTGGAAAAGAATAATGACTGCGCCTGTTGTATCTTCATTTCGATTTTTTTCATTCAAAGAACAATTTTTATTGTGTTTCTTTTCAATGAGTTCTTTTCTTGACCTTCTATGAAGCAACATCTGTTCTATTTAGTGTGTTATTATAACCGCTATATAATTTTACAGTTCAGATTTACACTTAAACTCTAACACTTTTTGTTATTTGGATTATTTCAGTTAGTAAATTATGCATCTTGTTGAAATTATCCCAATATCGAATTCAGTAGTTTTTTATTTTTCATCTAGAACGAAACTAATCAATGGTGAAAAAGTCTTAGCATAATATATACACTCATGTTTCGATCAGTTGAAGCCAGAACCAGTTATTTAGATTCATCCTATTTCACTCTTTCTGAATACATCTTCAGAATTTTCTTTTAGAATAAGATTGAATCATTATCATTAGATTGTTTCAAAAGGTCTAACATAGTGCTCGTACAAAATACTATTTTGACCAATTTTCTGTTGCAATTGAAATCTATCAAATTCAAAATGCGAAACAAATTTGTCTACAAAGCCTATTATTTACTTTTGCATGAAAGAGTCGAAAAATTAGCAAAAATTTTACGTCAAGTAGGGTCCAAATAGGTCGAAGCTTTGAAACCCAGATCCGAGGACCAACCTGAAAAGCTCTAATACCAAGTTATTTGAACTATAGGTTAATTAAAAGTTTTATCTTCTTGATTTAGGTGTTTATGTATTAACATTAAGTGAACTTTTGTCATTACAATTAAATGGTGTAGATATTGGTACAACAAATGAATCGATAGGTTCAATACAAAAGTTACATGAAGAAAATTCTTATCTTCGTTCATTAATTGCAAATATAAATGCTAATGAAAATGGTAATACATTAATAAAATGTCTTGCTGATATATTTCGATGTGAACAAGAACGTCATTTAATAGATATACGTAAGCATAAAAATGTTGATAAATTAGAACACGATATTCAGAATATGTGTGATTATCAACGTAATGCATTAGGAAAATTATTATCACAAGATCGTCTATCATTAATTAATGAACTTGAACAAACAAAAGAACAATTACATGATTTAAAAGATAAATTTGAACAATTAAAACAAAATCAAGATCAATCAAAAATAATTAATTTTCGTCATTTAAATAAATTTTATTTTAAATATTTACGTTGTGAAGCTTATCGAAAAGCATTAATTTATCAAAAACGTTATTTACTTATTTTATTAACTGGTTATGAAGATACAGAAATGTTTGCATTAAAACAAATACAACGTTTAACTGGAAATATGAAATCAAATTCTTCTAATATTAATCAAATAAAATTAATATCTAAACAAAATTATCGTCGACGTTCATCAAATTATCGTTTTCGTTTTCGATGTTATATTACAGTTGTTATTGGTATGATTCGAATGCGTTGGCTTGTAAAAAAATGGGCACAAAAATTAGCAACTATATAGTGAATCTTTTTCTTTTCTTTTTGTGTATTTTTTGTTTTTTGTTTTTTCTTTTGGTAAATTTTATCAATATAAATCTATAGATGTTAATTGTAGAAAGATAGAAACAAAATATAAAATTTCTTCATCAAGCATC